ACATTATTTTTTTAAATACATTATGCGCCAATGCTCGTATTTACAAATTATGTACATTTATCATATTGTTTCTATTTCTATTTGTCACTTTTAGATCATTGTCTCCTACAAAATTTTTAATGTGCACCGACACAAAAACCCCTCTGCTAGTTTAATAAACAATTGCTAATTTTTTTTTTTAATTTTACTTGTTTTAACAATAGAATGTGCATACATGTTTACTGAACAAACGAAAATATATTACGCACTTTAAAAAAAGTTGATCTGAGAAATCGTCGAATTCCTATTTCGCGTTCGAATTGTTCAGCCTTCAGAGATCCATCAATGCTTTTAAAATGTTTATTAAAAACACTATAGGCACTGATTTCATTTCGACTCTTTGGTCCGGTGCGTGTGTTGATGTACATGATTAATAGTCCAGATAACATAAGGTACACAATGCCGAACTGAAGTTCGATTGCAATAATATATAAAATTATCCAAAGAGATATGTAGGCTCCATGTAGTAAGTAGCGCAAAACAGCATCACTTAAAGTGTGTGTTTTCAAAGTAGCGTCGACAGTTCGCAAACAACTGCTAAAGGCCCGATTTTCGGAAACAAGTTCTATATTTTTTACAAGTGAGTTCTCTGAATGCTGAAGTGCCTAAAAATAAATTGTAAATAAAAAATAATAAGTAAAGGTCATAACTTAATACACACCCTCTTGTTTTTAATAAACAAAAAACGGTAAGATGAATAAAATAAACTAAACAAATTTAAGTAAGGTCCATCGTGGATTATCGATTACAGAACAGGTTCCTCTGAATAGACTAAAATACCGCCAAATTTTTTAAGTTTCAAGAACATAACTACTACTACCTAAGTAATTCCTTTTACATTTTAAATAATAGGGTATCTAATCCTAGTTTATTATTAACATTTTTAAGCTTCAATTAATTATTTAAAAAACAATTTATAATTTAAAAATTTCACCTAATAAATTATATTTTATTTTAAATTAAACAATTTAACTTCTACTGAAAAAATTTATTTGCATTATTCGTATAACCGCGGCTGCTGGCACAAATTTAGCCAATACTCTTTAATATAACTATTTCTAGATTTCTCTAATTAATAATACTAATCACTGCGAATATAAATTAATTTATTTATTATTAAAATAAATAAAAATTCATACAAAAATTTACATATAAATAAAACTAATAATAAATTTTTAAGCTAAAATAAAACTTTAAACTTAATTTATAAAAATTTTTAAAATTATTTACAATTTAAAAATTTAAATTAAAACATAAAATATAGAATTATTAATAATTAATATTATTGAATAATATAAAATTGGTAATTACTCACGCAAATTTTGATTCAATTAATTAATCATATTTATAATTTTAAATTAAAAATTTACATATAAATTAAACTAATAATAAATTTTTAGGCTAAAATAAAATTTTAAACTTAAATTATAAAAATTTTTAAGATTATTTGCAATTTAAAAATTTAAATTAAAACATAAAAATTAGAATTATTAATAATTAATATTATTGAATAATATAAAATTGGCAATTACTCACGCAAATTTTGATTCAATTAATTAATCATATTTATAATTTTATTAAATGATAAGTTTTAATAAATTTATTTATTATTAATATTTTACATAAATATACCCCCATATAATTTTATAAAATATTTATAATAATATAAAATAAATGTTATTTTTAACATAAAAAAATACCAATTATATCCCCTAATATAATTACATTTTAATAATTATTTATTAAAAAAAATAAAAAATATTTTAAATATAATTATTTAATAAATAATTGAATATAGTAAACAAATAATATATAAATATAAAATTTAATTATATTTTATAAAAATAAATCAAAATTAAATTTTTTTTCACGGATTTGTCTAAAAATTGTTATTTGTTGGTCATAATGGGTTCCAGCTCCGGTGGCGAAACATTGCATGCATGGGTCCACGATTTGGTATAGCCCCATATAACGGTACCTCCCGATATTCGGTATTTTGATGGTTTTTGCACATTTTTTACTAAAAATTGGTATTTGTGGGTCATAATTTGTCCTAGTTCGTGTGGCGAAACATTGTATGTATAGGTCCACCTTTTGGTATAGTCCCCATTAAACGGTACCTCCCAATATTCGGTATTTTGATGATTTATAACATATTTTTTCACGAATTTCTCTGAAAATTGGTAATTGTAGATCATACTGGGTTCCATCTCCGGTGGCGAAACATTGCATGCATGGGTCTACGATTTGGTATAGCCCCATATAACGGTACCTCCCGATATTCGGTATTTTGATGGTTTTTGCCCCATTTTTGCCTGATTTATCTAAAAATTGGTATTTGTGGGTCATAACGTTCATAATATAACGGTACCTTCCGATATTCGGCATTTTAATGGTTTTTGCCACATTTCTTCTAATGTTTCTTTACCCTAAGTTGGAGGGTATTAAAATTTTGCCCCGGCCGAACTTAATGTTTATTACTTGTTTTTCCCTTTTTCTCCTTTGTAAATACTTTTTATACCCTCCACCATACTATGGAGGGTATATTAATTTTGTCATTCCGTTTGTAACTCCTCGAAATATTAATGTCAGACCCAACAAAGTATATATATTCTTGATCAGCGTAAAATTCTAAGACGATTTAGCCATGTCCGTCTGTCCGTCTGTGTGTCTGTGTGTCTGTCTGTCTGTCTGTCTGTCTGTCTGTCCGTCTGTCTGTCTGTTGTAATCACGCTATCTTTCGAACAAATTGAGATAGGCGGCTAAAATTTTGCACACATGTATATTTTCCCAGTAGGCAGGTTAAGTTCGTAAATGGGCCATGTAGGTCCAAGTTATCATATAGCCCCCATATAACGGTACCTCCCGATATTCGGTATTTTGATGATTTTAGCGACATTATTCACCGGAATTATTTCAAATTTGGTATTAGAAGTTTGTAATGGATAGTAGAGCCTAGGACAGAAAATTATCTGTGCAGGTCCACGTCTTCATATAGCCCCCATATAACGGTACCCCCCGATATTCGGTATTTTGATGATTGTAGCGACATTGTTTACCGGAATCGTTTCAAATTTGGTATTTGAAGTTCTTTCAAATTTCGCATGTGAAGTTCGTAATGGATACTTCAGCCCATGCCAGAAAATTGTCTGTGCAGGTCCACGTCTTCGTATAGCCCCATATAACGGTACCCCCCATATTCGGTATTTTGACGATTTTAGCTACACTATAAACAGATTTTTCTTCAAGTTTCGCATTTAAATATAGTAATAATTTATGACAAAAGTTGCCTATGCAGGCCCACGTCGTCGTATAAGCATTCAGTATTTTTAAGATTTTAACAGAATTTTTTACGGTATTTTTTTTTTTTTTTGGAAATTGCCAAATTTGTACCAAATGGTGGAGGGTATTAAAAGTTCGGCCGGCCGAACTTACAGCTTTTTTACTTGTTGTTATTCTTTTCTTGTAGTAGCCATATTCACTGGGTTAAAACGAGTGATAATTAGCGTTGTGTTGTATTGATACTTCTTGCTTTTTTCCCCTCTGCCTTGCCTAACTGTTGCTCAGCTGGGTAGAGGGGTGAAGTCTGAGGTTCTTGTTATTTTATATTAACAAATTAGTTGTTAATTTTTATACCCTCCACCATACTATGGAGGGTATATTAACTTTGTCATTCCGTTTGTAACTCCTCGAAATACTCATGTCAGACCCAACAAAGTATATATATTCTTGATCAGCGTAAAATTCTAAGTCGATTTAGCGATATCCGTCTGTCTGTCTGTCTGACTGTCTGTCCGTCTGTCTGACTGTCCGTCTGTCTGTCTGTTGTAATCACGCTATCTTTCGAATGAATTGAGATAGATGGCTAAAATTTTGCACACATGTTTATTTTTCCAGTAGGCAGGTTAAGTTCGTAAATGGGCCATGTAGGTCCACTTTTTCATATAGCCCCCATATATCGGTACCTCCCTATATTCGGTATTTTGATGATTTTAGCGACATTATTCACCGGAATTGTTTCAAATTTGGTATTTGAAGTTCAAAATGGATACTACACCCTAAGACGGAAAATTGTCTGTGCAGGTCCACGTCTTCGTATAGCCCCCATATAACGGTACCACCCGATATTCGGTATTTTGATGATTTTAGCGACATTATTCATCGGAATTGTTTCAAATTTGGTATTTGAAGTTCGTTATGGGAACTACAGTCTGTGACAGAAAATTGTCTGTGCGGGTCCAGGTCTTCGTATAGGCCCCATATATCAGTACCTCCCTATATTCGGTATTTTGACGATTTTAGGTACAATACCCACCGAAATTGTTTGAGATGTGGTATTTGAAGTTCGTAATGGATGCTACAGCCTGTGACAGAAAATTGTCTATGCTGGTCCAGGTCTTCGCAAAGCTCCAATTTAACGGCACCTCCTTATATACGATATTTTGATGATTTTAGCTACATTATTCACCGTTTCGAAGTTTCGAATTTGAATATGGTAATGGCTTATGACAAACAATGCCTATGTATGTCCACGTCGTATAGACCCCAAAATAACGGCTATATTCAGTGTTTTTAAAATGTTAACAGAATTTTTTAAGGATTTTATTTTTTTAAAATTTCCAAATTCGTTGCAAATGGTGGAGGGTATTAAAACATTCATGTGACCACTTGTTTGATAGGTATTTTCATTAGCTTTCAAACAATACCCATATCGTTTTGTAGTTCCGTGTCTTGAACCTGGACATTTGAGGATGCATTTATTCCAATAGTCTATGGTAGAATCTGGTTGTCTCTTACATTATTTTTTTAAATACATTATGCGCCAATGCTCGTATTTACAAATTATGTACATTTATCATATTGTTTCTATTTCTATTTGTCACTTTTAGATCATTGTCTCCTACAAAATTTTTAATGTGCACCGACACAAAAACCCCTCTGCTAGTTTAATAAACAATTGCTATTTTTTTTTAATTTTACTTGTTTTAACAATAGAATGTGCATACATGTTTACTGAACAAACGAAAATATATTACACACTTTAAAAAAAGTTGATCTGAGAAATTATCGAATTCCTATTTCGCGTTCGAATTGTTCAGCCTTCAGAGATCCATCAATGCTTTTAAAGTCTTTATTAAAAACACTATAGGCACTGATTTCATTTCGACTCTTTGGTCCGGTGCGTGTGTTGATGTACATGATTAATAGTCCAGATAACATAAGGTACACAATGCCGAACTGAAGTTCGATTGCAATAATATATAAAATTATCCAAAGAGATATGTAGGCTGCATGTAGTAAGTAGCGCAAAATAGCATCACTTAAATTGCGTGTTTTCAAAGTAGCGTCGACAGTTCGCAAACAACTGCTAAAGTCCCGATTTTCGGAAACAAGTTCTATATTTTTTACAAGTGAGTTCTCTGAATGCTGAAGTGCCTAAAAATAAATTGTAAATAAAAAATAATAAGTACAGGTCATAACTTAACACACATCCTCTTGTTTTTAATAAACAAAAAACGGTAAGATGAAATCAAAAGATTTTTTTTCAAAGGCAACCAAAATTATTAATTTTATTCTTCGAATAGAAAAATATAGAGGTAAAATTAGCGGAACAACTCTAGTTTAGTAAAAACTCTTCGAATTTTTCGATTTTTTCCAGTGGTGTTTTATAGTAGTTTTACCCGGATCCCGGGAAACAATTTTTTCTTGGGGGACGGACCCGGGACCCCAGATTCTTTTGACCCGCAACTCCGGGTTCAATACCCGGATCTACTTACCTGATAAAGACAATATAGGTATCGTTTGAAAGCTTATGGAAATACCTATCCAGCAGTGATATACTATTCTGGGTACGTTCAACCGACTATGCGAACTAAAGTTTTTTATGTCCCATACCGGCTAACGCGAACCAAAGTTTTCTAACATGGATACTTTTTGAAAGTAGCCGGCTTCGGCCGGGGCTTGAGATTTTCTCCTCTGGAGAAATCGTTCGCCGGCTGAGGCGAACGAAAGTTTTCTAAATTGGACACTTTTTGTAAGATTTTTTCCTCTGGACATGTCGGCACTTTTTGTAAATAGCCGGCCTTCGGCCGGGGCTTGAGATTTTCTCCTCTGGGTATGTCCCACACCGGCTAACGCGGACCAAAGTTGTCTTAATTGGACACCTTTTGTAAGTAACCGGCCTTCGGCTGGGGCTTGAGATTTTCTCCTTTGGGTATGTCCTACACCGGCTAACGCGAACCAAAGGTTTCTAAATTCGGCACTTTTTGTAAATAGCCGGCCTTCGGCCGGGGCTTGAGATTTTCTCCTCTGGGTATGTAACACACCGGCTAACGCGGACCAAAGTTGTCTTAATTAGATACCTTTTGTAAGTAGCCGGCCTTCGGCTAACGCGAACAAAAGTTTTTCAAAGTTGATACTTTTTGTACTTTTTCGGCTGGGACTTGAGATTTTCTACTCTGGGTATGTCACAAACCGCCTAACGCGAACCCAAATTTTCTAAATTTGATATTTTTTGAATACCAACGCCGACTACGCGAAATAAACCTTTTTTATTGAAAACATAATTTTAATGAACTGGCTGGAATCGGGTTATGCGGGTGGAAAGACCCATATCTCTGAACACAGAAAAGGTATAAGCACAAATTGTAGCATTTTGGAAAGATAAAAATGTCAACAATACTTTGGCGTCAATTTGGTTGAACCCCATAATGGGCCCTTTTCCGACTTTTTGGGTGTTTTATAAAAAATTCAAGTCCAAAAAATCGATAGATTGACTATAACTTCCGAACCGTTTAAAAATTAGCATCAGCCCGGGAAACTATTTTTTTCTTGGGGACGGACCCGAAATCCCAGACTTTTGACCCGAAAGCCCGGTTCAAGACCCCGAATAGACCCAGATGCACTTACCCGATATAGACAATATGATGGTAATTTTTGGCTTAACTCTAGTTTAGTAAAAACTCTTCAATTTTTTTCCAGTGGTAGGTATTTTTACCCTGATCCCGGGAAACTATTTTTTTCTTGGGGGGACGGACCTGGGACCCCAGATTTTTGACTCGAAAGTCCGGGTTTAAGACTAGACCCGGATCAAATTACCCGATATAGACAATATGAACCCGATATAGCCTATGAAAATACCTATCCAACAAGTGGTCACATGATAAGGTAAGATGTTACGGTTCGGAAGTTATAGTCAAATTATCGATTTTTTGGACCCGGATTTTTTATAAAACCTCCAAAACGTCAAAAAAGGGTCCATTACGGGGGACAACAAAATTGATGACAAATTATAGCTGACACTTTTCCAAAATGCTACAATTTGTGCTAATACCTTTACTGAATCCAGAGATATTGGTCTTTCCATCAGCATAACCCGATTCTAACCAGTTCATTAAAACTATGTTTTCAATAAAAAAAGGTATATTTCGCGTAAGCATCAAATTCAGAAATCTTTGGTTTGCGCTAGCCGGTGTTGGACATACTCAGAGGAGAAACTTCCAAGCCCCAGACGAAGGCCGGGTATTTACAAAATGTGTCAAATTTAGAAAAGTTTGGTTCGCGTTAGCCGGTGTAGGACATACCCAGAGGAGAAAATCTCAAGCCCCAGCCGAAGGCCGTCTACTTACAAAAGGTATCCAATTTAGAAAACATTGGTTCGCGTTAGCCGGTGTAGGACATACCCAGAGGAGAAAATCTAAAGCCCCGGCCGAAGGCCGCCTACTTACAAAAGGTATCCAATTAAGACAACATTGGTCCGCGTTAGCCGGTGTGGGACATACCCAGAGGAGAAAATCTCAAGCCCCGGCCGAAGGCCGGCTACTTACAAAAGGTATCTAATTAAGACAACTTTGGTCCGCGTTAGCCGGTGTGTTACATACCCAGAGGAGAAAATCTCAAGCCCCGGCCGAAGGCCGGCTATTTACAAAAAGTGCCGAATTTAGAAACCTTTGGTTCGCGTTAGCCGGTGTAGGACATACCCAAAGGAGAAAATCTCAAGCCCCAGCCGAAGGCCGGTTACTTACAAAAGGTGTCCAATTAAGACAACTTTGGTCCGCGTTAGCCGGTGTGGGACATACCCAGAGGAGAAAATCTCAAGCCCCGGCCGAAGGCCGGCTATTTACAAAAAGTGCCGAATTTAGAAACCTTTTGTTCGCTTTAGGCGGTGTCGGACATACCCAGAGGATAAAATCTCAAGGCCCGGCCGAAGGCTGGCTATTTTCAAAAAGTGCCAAATTTAGAAAACTCTTGTTATTCCGACGACTGCTACGCGAAATAAACCCTTTTTATTGAAAACATCATTTTAATGAACTGGTTAGAATCGGGTTATGCGGATGAAAAGACCTATATCTCTGGACTCGAAAAAAGTATTAGCACAAATTGTAGCATTTTGGAAAGGTAAGAGTGTCAGCTATAAGTTGGAAACAATTATGTTGACCCCCATAATGGACCCTTTTTTGATTTTTTGGGGGTTTCATAAAAAATCCCGGTCCAAAAAATCGATAATTTGACTATAACTTCCGAACCATGACAACTTACCCCTTCATGTGACCACTTGTTGGATAGGTTCCATAAGCTTTCAATCGATACCCATATATCGGGTAAGTGGATCCGGGTCCAGGCGGGGTCTTAATCCCGGACTTTCGGGTCAAAAATCTGTGGTCCCGGGTCCGTCCCCCAAAGAAAAAAATAGTTTCCCGGGATCAGGGTAAAAATACCTACCTCTGGAAAAAATTGAAGAGTTTTTACTAAACTAGAGTTGTTTCGTTAAGCCAAATTAGCTGACTACACTACATATTCAATATAACTTGAGAAGGCTAAAATTGGTGAAACCTAGTTCTACTACGTGGACAATATCATATACATCGAATTTTTTTTCTAAATTCCAAAGCAATGCGACAGATTAGTGTGTTTATCCTACCAACAGCGCGGATATGGATATGATAATCTTACCGCTGTTGTTTTTGTTTATTTAGAACATTAGGTGCGTGAAAAAACACAAATATTGAAAAACAACGTTTATGAAGTAACAAATTATTTACAGTTTTAGAAGATATATTGACTTCTTCTTTGACTCCTTTTGTAGGTGATATGATTTCCCAAAATTTGGCTATAAATCGTTGTAAATGTTCCTCTCGTCGTTTTTTTAAGCGATACTTCTGCAACCTTTCCTCAGTAGTTTCCATTTTTTACATACTGGGTAAAAAGAAATGGGGAAGTCGATTACGGTTGCTAAAATCAGTCGATTTTAAGAATTAGACCCCATTTACACAGGGAAAGTTTCTCAGTAGAAGATTGAGTATGTTGGGAACGTAGTAGAAGGCAATAACATGGGCATGACAGGAGAATACAGGTAGATGCATCAACGCTTGGCAGCATTGATATGTCAAAAAAATTTAAATGTTTTTTCGAATATAAGTAGATTTTTATATATAGTTTCATATACTACGCCATTCGGAGGCTATTATAATTCGCGTTTTTCAACAATTTTTACAAATTTAAATAATTTTTAATTCAACATTTCCAATTCCAAAATTGGTTTTGACAGCTCATTGTCCAAGCAGCTGTGTCGACGCGTCTACCTATATTCTTCTACCATGAATATGGGTGAAAGGTAAAACGCACGGTAGTCGCATCGAAACAGCTGTTGGGCCAATGAACTGTCAAACCACTTTTGAAATTTAAAATTCTGCATGAAAAATTATTTACATTTGTAAAAATTGTTGAAAAATTAATATCATAACAACCTCCGATTGGTGTCATATAAGGAAACTTATACAAATCTACTTTTTTTAAAAAACATATTTTAAAATAAAAAAATCTATCATGGGTAAAATGCATTCGCATAATTCGGAAAACGAGCAATTTTAAAACAAAAAACTAGTAAAAGGTAGATGCATCAACATTGATATGTCAAAAATAAGCAAATTTTATATGTATATATCATGGTAGAAGTAATAGGTAGACGCATGGACACAGCTGTTGGGACAATGAACTGTCAAACGAATTTTGGAATTGAAAATGTTGAATGAAAATGTATTTAAATTTGTAAAAATTGTTGAAAACGCGAATTATAATAGCCTCCGAATGACGTAGTATAAGAAAACATATGAAGATCTACTTATATTTGAAAAAACATTTAAATTTTTTTGACATATCAATGCTCCCAAGCGTTGATGCATCTACCTGTATTCTTCTGCCATGGTATATATATATGCAATAATTTTTACAAATTTCAATAATTTTTCATTCAACATTTTGAATTCCAAAATCGGTTTGACAATTCATTGTATTAGCAGCTGTGTTGATGCGATTACCCGTATTCTTCTACCATGGCTAAACTTCAAAATTAAAAGACAAATATGTTTTACGTTCAGTTTTATGTCCACCATAGGAGAAGAAGAAAAGTAGTCTTAGGCCGGTTATTACATCTCGCCAGCGTGACCGTTGTGCCACTAAAGTATCAATTTTGCCACTTTTTTTGAATTTTCATACCGTTCTGCCACTTTTTTATTTTGATTCTAAATGAGCCACTTTTTTGAATTTTTGTGCCACTGTTTTATACATTGTGCCACGTTTTTTAAACTACATATATTTTAATCTAAACGCTGTATTTAAAATAATGAAAAGCGTCGTACGCTGCCATTTCCAATCAGCGATAGCAAATCTTAGAGCGAAAGCTTTTATATTAGGTGTTTGTAAGTGGTTTTCGCATGCTCAAAGTTGTCAACATTGTTGTGTTTGTTTATTTCTGGAACAGCTGTTAAGAAATATTTTTATACCCTCCACGAGGGTATATTAAGTTCGTCATTCGGTTTGTAACTCATCGAAATAATCATTTTAGACCCAAAAAAGTATATATATTCTTGATCAGCGTAAAATTCTAAGACGATATAGCCCTGTCCGTCCCCCTGTCCGTCTGTTGTAATCACGCTACCGTCAACACGAATTAAGACAGAAAGCTAAAATTTTGCAGAGATCCCTCTTTTGCCTGCAGGCAGGTCAAGTTCGAAGATGGGCTATATCGGTCCACGATACTTCCTGAAAGAGAATTGTCTATATAGGTCCACATCTTCGTATAGCCCCCATATAACGGTACCCGCGATTTTCGGTATTTTGATGATTTTAGCGACATTATTCACCGGAATAGTTTCAAATTTTGTATTTGAAGTTCGTAATGGATACTACATCCAATGCCAGAAAATTGCCTGCGCAGGCTTAACAAGTTTGTTGACCCCCATAATGGGCCCTTTTTTGACTTTTCGGGGGTTTCATAAAAAATCCGGGTCCAAAAAATCGATAATTTGACTATAACTTCCGAACCATGACAACTTACCCCTTCATGTGACCACTAAGCTTTCAATCGATACCCATATATCGGGTAAGTGGATCCGGGTCCAGGCGGGGTCTTGATCCCGGACTTTCGGGTCAAAAATCTGTGGTCCCGGGTCCGTCCCCCAAGAAAACAATAGTTTCCCGGGATCAGGGTAAAAATATCTACCTCTGGAAAAAAATTCGAAGAGTTTTTACTAAACTAGAGTTGTTTCGTTAAGCCAAATTAGCTGACTACACTACATATTCAATATAACTTGAGAAGGCTAAAATTGGTGAAACCTAGTTCTACTACGTGCACAATATCATATACATCGAATTTTTTTCTAAATTCCAAAGCAATGCGACAGATTAGTGTGTTTATCCTACCAACAGCGCGAATATGGATATGATAATCTTACCGCTGTTGTTTTTGTTTATTTAGAGTCGATTACATTTGCTACAAATCAGTCCATGGCCCAATTATAAGGTCTTCCTTCGAGCGAATTAATCTAAAAACAGCTGTTATTTTACCAGATGAAATGTCAAAATTCATGCTTGAGGCGAAAATAAATATTTTCGCCTTGACAGAAGAATTTTGTGGCGAATTTGTTTGTTGTCATTTTTTGTATGTATAACACATGGTACAAAAATACAGGTAGAGCCATCGACGCAACTGCTGGGACAATGAACCGTCAAACCGAATTTGAAATTAAAAATGTTAAACGAAAAATTGTTGATATTTTAAAAATTGCATATCATAACAACCTCGTATTAGAAAACGTATAAAAATCTACTTATTTTTGACAAAACATTTTAACAATTTTGACATATTAATGTTCCCAAGCATTGTAATAATTTTTTGAATAATTTTTCATTTTAAATTTTTAACTTAAAAATTGGTTTGACAGTTCATTGCCCCAGCAGCTATGCAATGCGACTACCTGTATTCTTCTACCATCGTTTTGAAGTTTGTTTTTGTTGCAGCGAATTCAAATTTAATTGACAGATGGTCTGGTAATCAGCTGAGCTGGAAGGGGGACCTTATACTTGGATCATGAATCAGTCGATTTTAAGAACAGTAGAAAATTGAGTATGTTGGGAACGTAGTAGAAGGCAATAACATGGGCATGACAGAAGAATACAGGTAGATGCATCAACGCTTGGGAGCATTGATATGTCAAAAACATTTAAATGTTTTTTCAAATATAAGTAGATTTTTATATATAGTTTCATATACTACGCCATTCGGAGGCTATTATAATTCGCGTTTTTCAACAATTTTTACAAATTTAAATAATTTTTCATTCAACATTTCCAATTCCAAAATTGGTTTTGACAGTTCATTGTCCAAGCAGCTGTGTCGACGCGTCTACCTATATTCTTCTACCATGAATATGTGTGAAAGGTAAAACGCACGGTAGTCGCATCGAAACAGCTGTTGGGCCAATGAACTGTCAAACCACTTTTGAAATTTAAAATTCTGCATCAAAAATTATTTACATTTGTAAAAATTGTTAAAAAATTAATATCATAACAACCTCCGATTGGTGTCATATAAGGAAACTTATACAAATCTACTTTTTTTAAAAAACACATTTTAAAATAAAAAAATCGATCATGGGTAAAATGCATTCGCATAATTCGGAAAAGGAGCAATTTATAAACAAAAAACTAGTAAAAGGTAGATGCATCAACATTGATATGTCAAAAATAAGCAAATTTAAATTTTTTTTTTTTTTCGAACGTTCCCACGCCTCACATTCCCACCCCTGCCGACCGAGGGGGCGACCTCCCTTTACGGAGGGATCGCGTACACATCATGATCCGCATCATAATGGGAATTCAGTAGGAAATTGAATACCAGCTACAGAATCTAATTCATCAGCTAGTTTGTCAAATAATAAAACATGTATGTTAATTGTTTAAAAATAAAATTATTCTAGATTTAATAACTTCTAAACTCATACAAAAATCTACATTACAATACAAAGAATTAATTTGTGCGGTGAAAATCAGTACATAATAATTGGTAGTATCTACTAGATCTAAAATGAACATTAATTCTAATAGATGAGATTAGGAAATCTGAAGGTATATAACCATTTAATATTTTTAGTACAAACATGGAGTTCAACATAATACGTCTGCTTTTAAGTGTAGGCAATCTAATTAATTTTAGCCTGCTAGCATAAGAAGGCAAAACAAAATCACTATTCCAATGTAAACATCGTAAGGCAAATAGCAGAAATTGTTTTTGCACGGATTCAATTTTATCTGAATATATTGCATATTGAGGATCCCATACAACAGAACCATATTCCAATATAGGTCTAACAAGAGACGTAAATAACTGTTTTGTTATATATGGATCAGAAAATTCTTTGGCCCACCGTTTAACAAAACCTAAAACACCATTTGCTTTATTTACCATTGTTATCAAGAGGCCTAGATCGACAAATGAATCTACAGTTGATAATGAATGGCCGTCAATATTATATTGTAATATCAGAGAAGAAGATCTGGAGAAGCATATATGCTTACATTTGCTTAAATTTAACTCCATACAATTTAACTTGCACCATTTAAAAAGGCTATCTAAATCGTTTTGAAGTAAACTGGCTCGTTTATCACAATTGTGGGAAATGAATAATTTAACATCATCTGCGTACATTAACAATTTCGAGTGATTTATGGAATTAGGTAAATCGTTGATAAATAAAAGAAAGAGGACCGGTCCAAGGTGACTTTCTTCCTTGGATAGATACCCTTCAAACAAAACTAGTTGTGATCTATCTTTTAAGTAAGATGATATCCATTTGACTAAGTTTGTGTTGAAACCCATATAATTTAATTTATATATTAGGAGTTCATGGTTAACCCTATCAAAAGCTTTACTAAAATCAGTATAAATTGTATCAGTTTGTTTACGCTGAACAAATCCTTTTATTACTGTTGACGTAAATTGTATAAGATTTGTTGTAGTTGAAGGACC